CAGAAGGATCCTGACTTGTCCTCCCGCGTCGTTCTTGCCGGCGAGACGGAAAGCGGTCGGGGACAGTCTGTGTCCCAGGGGCCTGGTTCCCCCAAGGGGCGGGGCCTGCTGTGGAGAATTGACTGCACAGAGGTAGCCACGGAGGGAGGGGTTTCTGGGTGCCATCTTGGGATGGAAGCCGTTCAGAGGGCATGGAGAGAAAGATGGCCCTGGCATCTCACCCATCTCAGCATCTCACCCGTGTGAATGTAAGAGGGGGCGTTTACTGACCTGGGGCAAGACTGTGAACCCAAGATGCGTGGGCAAAAGTTAAGGGAGACTGTGAGCACTGCTGAAGCGATCTGGAATGCCAAGCTGAGCAGAGCTGGGTGCCGGGTGTCAGGTGTTCGTTTCTTTGTAAGCGTCTCCATTTTCCCCCTCCCTACCCAAGATATAAAATGAAAAATTCAGATAAAAATGTTATGTGGTTTGTCTGATAGCTCCCTGAGCAAGACACCCTGAAAAAAGTGAGGGCCGGTCGAACACAGAGCAGGAAGGCGAAAAGTTAATGGGACATATTCTTAAATATGTAATGATTATTTAATGCCAGGGACGCCATAACTTCTGTTCAGAATCCAGATTTCTTGGAGGAATGACCAGTGTTTTGTTTGGAACAGAAAATGTGCAGTATAAACATGGGTACATCATGCTATGCTCAGAAAAAGATGAAACCCCTCCTGGAGTAAAAGAATCATCTTGAAAAGACACAGGAGCCAAAATGAAGGTGCACCTCCTGGCTCCGGAAGACCACTTGGGACTAAGGAGAAGAATGATACCTACAACATTTTGATTACGCTTGAACATATAAACGCTCATGATTTCATAGCAATTGTATCAATATAAGAAAGAATGAAAGAAAACAAAAATGAAACAGCTGATTGACCACCATTGGAAGCTAACTGACACAAATTCATACCCCTAAAATCTGGCTTTATGGTTGCTAGAGAATGTGGCAGATCATTTCTGAACAGGGCCATTCTGATTGTGTTGGGCCATGTGAGGGAAGTCATCTTTGACCATCTGGTCTTCATAGAGCCACCAAACTACCAAACAACCAGATGACCATAGCCACTTCAGAGATCTTAGCAAGGCCAGGAGAACTGCCTGGCGGAGTTCAGCCCAAAATGCTGGCTCACAAAGGGAAATTATACGGTGGTTTAAGACTCTTAAGCTTTCAGTTCCCATGCTAATTTACAACAGATGAGTGAGATAGTGAGAAAGAATTAGGCACTGATTCTACCTTTCCTTTCAAACCATATTTTAGGCAATGAAATATCTAATTAATGAGAAATGCTCTTATTAAGTCTGTAGCCAATAAACATGGAAAAAACAATATAATTAGACAGAAGTTATTCTTCTTAAGCAAAATGTTGATATCGAAGGTAAAGTCAATAGGAAATTTTAAAATATGGGCTCAAGGAAAAATCACCTGACACCACTAATATCATTAAAAACAGAAAACCTAGATTTTGCCTTCAGAGTAATAAATATGAAACACAGGGATGTGGGGCTGGAGAGATGGATGGTTCAGTGGTTAAGAGCACTGGTTGCTCTTGCAGAGGTCCCAGATTCTATTCCCAGCACCCACATGGCAGCTAACAGTCATTCATAACTCTAGTTCCAGGGGATCTAATGCCCTCTTCTGACCTCTTTGGACATTGCAAGATATGGGTGTGCTTACATAAATGCAGGCAATATACTCATACACATAAAATAAAACCAAAATAATAAAGATTTTTTTTTACAAAAAGAGACATGGGGAACTCACGAAGGTTGTGTACAGGGCTGGAGGGAGAGCTCAGCAGTTAAGAGCACTGGTCACTCTTGCAAAGGACCCAGTTTACGTTCCCAGCACCCACACGTCTCATAACTATCCTTAGCTCCAATTCCAAGGAATCTATCTGATGCCCTCTTCTGGCCTCCATGAGCACCAGTATGCAGGTAGTGCACTTACATAGATACAGGCAAATCACTCATACACATGAAATAAAAATAAATAAATCTTTAAAAATGTAAGTGTAAATCCAATGACAACTCTAGTGTTCAAAGTCATTTGTAGGAATATTGGGGAAAGAAATAAATCAAAGGATGCTACAGTCTAACAGTCCAACTGCATAAATGTTGAGCATTCTGTTCAATAATGGGCCCAGGTTATGAACTGGATCTCCCCCGAGGACCTTGTTTCAGAGTCTTGACTCAAATTGGTAAACAATAAAAGTAATTTTAGGACAACCTGGGAAATTTGATTAGGAATGGGTTTCTAGTACATAGCCAAAAAGTTATTGTTAATTTGGTTAATTATACCTATGGCATGATGATTTTTCTCAGAAAATGTTCAAATTTTTAAAATTGTATGCTTAATTTAAACATAAAATACATCACGTCTGGGATTGACAAATATGTCCTAACCTGGGTGACAGCAGATTATGTCTGATGTGACCAACCTGTGACAGCAGATTAAATCTGATGGCAAATGAAGATTCACTGTACTAGTCTTGACTTTGGAATATGTATGAAAATCCCTACAATAAAATTTAAAAGTAGTTTTATGCAGACTAATTAATTGTACTGTTTATAATTTTTTTTTCATTCTTTCCTAATTAGAAGCTCAAAGTGTAAATGATTTCGTCAAAGCTTAGCTTTCAGGCCAAGCATAGTGGTACATATCTGCAATCCCAACACCAAGGAGGCCAACATAGGAGGATCCCAAGGTAGAGGCCAGCTTGGCCTACATAACAAGACCCTGTCTGAAACAAACAAATTTGTGTTCAGTTTGTAGGAATATAAACTTTCTCCTGGGAAAAAGAGTCTTGCCTTTTCTTTCATATTTGGGAAGAAGGATCTGCTTACAGGTTGATCAATGTTTTCCTTAATGACAGATGACGTACAAACACCAACAAAATGTGCTGCTGTGATCTCCTTATCCAGGGCAGTGCTATGAAAGGCGATAAATGCTCTCTTGTTTTCCACATAATGCCACTTTTGATTAGCAGTCCCATTGCTGTATGGTTTATATTGCTAGGGGAAAAAAGAGATGAAATATGGTCTCAGATAAGTGAGTTTATGGGATTGCATAACAGTCATGATATTAATTTAGAAAGTAAAAACAATTACTCATAAACTACTGTACAATGGTAAATATTGTTAATATTTTGGGAATTGTGTACATAATTTTATGCTTATAAACATGTATTATTTGTGTCACAAAATAAATCAAAATACACAAAATTTTGTAACTACATTATTTTTGTCTCTTAATATTCCTTTAATCTTTTTCTGACTTTTAAAAAGATAGATATTTTATCTTAGGGATATTTTGTTTTTCTAATTATCAGTAGTTAAACATGCAAGTTATCTTTTTACTTTCCTTTATAATAAATAAGGAAGCACAAACAATAAGATAAATATTTATGTAAATCCATGATAAATCCTAGAACATATTTCTAGAAGTAATTATTGATTAAATATGATTATTTTAAGAATTACGACATAGAACATGAAAATGTTTTCTAGAGAAAATATTTCATTCTACCCTTCTACAAATGGCACATTCAGGTACCATTTTTTTTTCATATTCTTGCCAACCACATGCAACATCTCCCTGAGCACCAGTTTACAAGGCAAAAAAATAGTAACTTTTAATTTCAATTCATATTTCACTGATATTCAAGGGTTTTCCCTACAATTCATCTAAATATGTAGCAGAAATAGGATACATGTTTTAATTTTCAAGTATAAGCAAAGAAACAGTCTCAAATTAAGAAGGTATAAACTGCTGGGAGTGGTGGTGCACACTTTTAATCCCAGCACTTAGAAGGCAGAGGCAGGTGGCTCTCTGTGAGATCGAGGCCAGCCTGTTCAACATAGTGAGTTGCAGGTCAGTGGGGGCTGTAGGGAGACCCTGTATCAAAAAGACCAAAATTAAAAAATAAAAAGAAGGCATAAGCCAACAGGTTAGCTCTAAGTATAACATACTACCTCAAGAAACTTCAAAATTTCTAATACCTACTTTACCAAGTAAGAGGTGAATGGCAAAGAAGTCTCAGCACTGATTTAACAGGTCAGACAAAGAGCTTCCCTCTGAGGTCTGGAAAACCAAAGGCTAGAGTTTTTTTTTTTAACTTAAAAAAAATTTATTGAGAATTTCATACATGCATATAAGATGTTTTGATCAAATCCATGCCCACTCCCTCCCGTCCAGCACCTCCCATATCGCCCCATCACTTTTTTTCTGACAACCTTTCTTTCTTTCTTTCTTTCTTTCTTTCTTTCTTTCTTTCTTTCT